TTAGTCGAGTTCATTAGTTGCCGCCATAACATTCATTAACAGAAAATTTACACAACTTTCGGACATTCTCAAACTATCGAAGTATTCTTTGGGATCTTCCAATGCTAATTCCTTCAGAAGACAATTAGTAGCTCCTAGTTTATCTTGTCTTTCGATCCATTTTCGTACCCATAGCTTCTTTTTATTAATCACACAAATTTCCTCATCCACCTCGTCTAAAATAGCCGTTACGATCAGCTTAATCAGTTTATTTACTTTATTGCGTTGTAGGCTGTTCATCTTTCAAAACACCACTCACTTGTAAACTGTACTCGACCAAAGTGCGAACGAGTTTTGGTGAGTAGCGAGTAATTTAGCTACTAAATTACTCGCTACTAGACTAAAATACTAGTTTAATGCGAACTAGGCTTTACAGCACTAGCGTAGCAAGTAGATGTGATGTGAAGTTAGTAGTTTTTAACGGAGTGAAGTGTGCTGAATTATTATTACTTGAAAATAATATATAATTATATTGCTGTTTGCCTATGCTAGAACTATTTAGAAACGTGTAGTGCGCCACAGCAAAGCGGAAATCTTTCTTTCCTTCTTTAATTCACCTTCTTACTTTTATGACGTTATGTTTTAAACTAGCGACTCACCCTCGCCTCACTCGGGTTCGTCCCTGGATACTTTTTTTTGAGCGGAACTCTAATTCTTTTTTTTTAAATAAAAGTAGCCTATATTACTCCTATAACATCAGTTACCTTCCACTGAAAGTCCGTCAAAAAACAGTCCAGCCGTTTCAGAGATTATTCGGAACAAAACAGACAGACAAAAAAATTTAAAAATTAGTTTTCTTATAAGTACCGTATATAATTTCATATGCATTTAGTAAAAAGGTTTATTTTGACATTACAAACAGACACTACAATTTTATTTATCTGTATAGATGTATAGATTCATATACTTGTTTTCTGTGGCGCCACCAATTTAATGCTTGTCAGCGGTCACTTTTTATACCAGAAATAGTTCTCCTTAGTTCTACCCTCCATATCTCTTTGGTACAGACACAGCATGGCACGCAAGTCAGCCTTAAGCCGCGATATTGCCTGTCCTGTGTTTTAATATTTTACCTATTAAAACGCAGTATTAGGGAATAGTATTTGACTTTAAGTATTTTAGGTAGTATGAATTGGATGAAGCAAACTAACTAATATGCAGTAAAATTTATAAATATTGTAAACTAAATGGTCTTTTACAAGCAACTACAAAACATCCTACAAGTTAAACTGCAGTAAAGTTATTAAATACTGCATGTCTTTTAGTTTTTCACAAGAAATTACAAAATCCCCCACAAGTTAATGTGCAGTATGGAATGTTAATACTGCACTTTAATTAGGAATATAAATAAAAAATATTTTTTCTTAACCTTTGCAGTATAATCAATTTGTATAGAGTCGAATAATACTGCATTTTAATAAGTTTTTTCTTGAATCTCCTAGAACAAACTACTATTTTAAGTGCCACAAAATATGATAAAACACTGCAGTTTAGTTAGGAAACAGAGAAAAATCTTGTGCAGTATTAATTGTACTGCGGTTTAGCTGGTAAACATGGAATATTTTAACAGATTTGTGATATTTTTGCTGTTACACCTTCCGAAAAAACATTAAAATAAAATACTTTTATTAGCGCTACAGAAAAAAGAATTAATTTGACTGATAGCTACTAAAATGGGGATTTAGAATATATATTTAACTCAAAACCGACCAAAATGCCTATTACTGCACTTTAGGCTCAGGTGGGCAGAGCTCCCGAACAGTTAGGTAAAATATGAAACTGTCAAACAGACTTGGGACAATTAATCTATCTTTACTAATATTATAAAGAGGCAGAGTTTGTTCGTTTGTTGGCGCTAATCTCAGGAACTACTAAACCCATTTCAAAAATTATTTTTGCATTAGATAGCCCGCTTATTGAGGAAGAATATAGGCTATTATATCATCATGCTACTACCCAAGGGAGCTCAGCAGTAATCATAAATGTCTATAAATCGGGCAGACTTCCATACATTATTGTAAAACTATGTATATATGTACATATATAGAGTCGGTAAAATGTAATAATAGGAACAAACACGAGTAAAACCACGGGTGCTAGTTATATTTCAAAATATTCGACAGCATTAAAATTTACTAGGAATAGTCTAGTATTGGAAATCGTATTGAATGTTTTTGTTACTTATACATATATCGTATAGATAGACCGACTAATGGTAAAACTGTGTAGTGTTTACGTGGTAAGGAAATCGAATTGAGAGACGTTGCCTCAGGCCGTTAGTTTTGTTTTGATAAAACGCATATAAAAGTGACTGAAGTAAAGTAATAATAAACTACTTATTTATCTGTATACGCCATATTGAGATAATGGCCAGCCAGTAAGTGATTTTTCTAGAAGTTTTTATTAGGATGTTGTTCAATTTTTAAGTTATTTTAATATGACCAGGCGATTTTGACAATTGTACATATTAGCCGTAACCGGGACTTGAACCTATAGCTCTTTGGCACTGCAATGAATCTGTTATACCGTATGCAGTACCATTGCTATTATAAATGAGGAATGTTTTGTGTGTGTGTGTATGCGTGAATTACGGTTAGTTCTCGCATACATTATGACTAACACATAGGCTCCTTCTTAGTAATAAAATTTGAACTTAGGGACGCATCCTAGCGATGTATAACTTACTAGTAGTAGAATCTTTTTAAACTTATAATCGTTATTCATGCTTCCATACTAATATTATTAAAAGGTAGTGTTTGTTTGTTAGAACGCGCTAATCTCAGGAACCGTTTATTGAGGGAGGCTATGGGCTATATTTATATATATATATATATATATATATAATATATAGGTAATATATAGTCTATCTATTCCATACTAACCATTAAAATTTATCTAGAGATGGACCCGAGCAAAGCGAGGGTGATTCGCTAGTTTTTTATAATTGTGAATTTACAATTCTTGGATTGTCGAAGTAACATTGTTCAGTCGACGTGAAATTCGTTAAGTTATCGATGTGTTTTTTTTGTATTATATCTGCTGGACAAATGAGATATGTACTTTTTGATGTGATACTCAACTTAGGTGTAGGGTCTCAGACTAAATTTCATCTACATCGGTTCAGGGGATTCAGCGTGAAATGGTAAAAGACAGGCAGACAGAGTTACTTTCGCATCTATACATACTCGTAGAATAAAACTGTAGAGGTCAAATGTCTGTATGTATAGAAAAAAATGCTAAAAACCGAGACGTAAGAAGAGAAATAGAACAAATGCAGATTTCTTTCCATTTTTTTGTTTCTCTGTCTGTTTGTATGGGCTAATCTCCGAAACTGTTGAACCAATTTAAATGAAATTTTGCATGGTGGTACTTTTCACCCCGGAAAATTAAAGAATTCCCGTGGGATAGTTTAAAAACAAATTCTACAGCTACAGCTTAGTACACAACAACTTATGCACGTAATTTAGTAAAATGTGGCATGCTAAATTACTATAATTTTCCTGCCGGTCAAAAAACTGGTTACTTTTTATCCCGGAAAAAGAACGGTTCCCGTGGGATAGATCTGTTCTTTGCTTTAGTTTATAATATTAGTATGGATTTAATGAATAATTTTAAATATAGTTCTTATATAAGTAAATATTCATCGAATTGTATCTTATTTTACACAACATCCAGTGACGTAAATAACGTAGTCGTATTCGTACTCTAATGTAGTTGTAGACAAGGAAGCGTACTAATGGCGAAATTGTGTCGCGAATACGGGCCAAGGAAATTGAATTGAAAGGCACCGCCAGAGGCGCCGATGAAAATAGTTGTATTTTGTGAATACGTTAGGGGAGAGACGTATAATTTACTTCTAAATTTTTACTGTACTTATATTTTACTAGCATTGCCCGCGGCTCCGCCCGCGTTCAGATGACCAAAAACCAAATTCTTAGGTTTTACATATTAGCATACCCTTACAATGCAGTTATTGTATTTTTTCTCAGAAGTGAGATGTTTTCCCGCGGTAAAAAGTATCCTATATGTTGACCCGGATAACCAGCTATTATTATACCAAATTTCATCAAAATTTGTCCAGGGTTTTCTCGTGATGCGGTGACAGACAGACAGACAGACAAAAATTCTAAAAACTATAGATTCGGACTCTGTATCGATAATAATGTCTATTTCAATTAGATTTTCCAAAAAATATTTAATGTACAGATTCGACTTAGTTCCAATTTTATTATACTTATGTATAGATACATGTACGTTTTAATCTTGACTTTTTAAAGTACTAACTTATATATATATATAAATTCATTTTATTAATTATTCAAATTAAATCATTTCATTTGTAATTTAAAAATGTAATGATTTATTTATTATATACTTTATGTTTACGTTACCAATGCTTATAATAAAGAAACAAAAGGGGTTAAAAAAAATTAATTGGGTCAATGTCACAGAACAAAAAACATAACATATTTTTTTTGTTTTTTAATCCATAAACAAGAGAATTGAATTCAATCACAATTTTTGTATCACTGATGCTTTTGATAAGTAAATCGAAAGCCATAGCTTGATCTCCTTACTCTATTCCACCACATACAAAACAGGAGTCAAAATAATTTTATGAAATTTCTTAATAAATAAAGAAACGAATAAATAAATATGTAATAGTATATTCATTCGGCCATACGCCGAATCGCGAATAATTTTTTTTATTCAAACTAAAAATATTTATTTACTTAATTAAGTATTTATTTTAAAAATCAGTGGACCACCTCAAAATGTTGAGTATTTTTTTATTTCAATAATTTTGTTTTTTATAAGCTACAAAGTTACTCCCAAGTTAAAAAAAAATCATTTTTTTTTCTCCAACCTAATATCCAATATGTATATATGTATATAATACTAGCATATAGAAATGCAAGAAATTATTGAATGAATCAATTAATTCTAGATTATTATTAAAGGAACATCAACCCGCAAACCACGTATCAATCCCGCACTGGTCGCGGCACAAGCGGCCGGCACCGCACCAACTAGTTCACAGAAACGACCACGATCTGCCAATTCACTCAAGAAGAAAAGGCGACCACCGCGCCTTAATAACGTCGATAGGAGCTCAGCACAAACTAGAGAGGTATGTGTGGTTTTCATGTAAAAAAAATTAAGGCAGTGGTAGCCCAGTGGTGACGCGCTCGCTTGGGAAACCGAGTGAAGCGGGTTCTAATCCCGGGTCTCGCACCTCTGATATTTTCACGTGCGAATCATTTCCAACATGATTACCACTTTGTCTTACGGTGAAGGAAAACATCGTGAGGAAACCTGCATGTCTGAGAGAACCTAGCAAGTTTTCGAAATACATGTGATGTCCGCCAACTGGTACTTGACCAGCGTGGTGGACTATGGCCTGATCCCCCTCGCATTGAAGAGAGGCTCGTGCCCAGCAGTGAGACTTAAAAGGGCTGAATGCAAATATATACTAGTTGACCCGACAGACGTCCTGTTCCAATATCTATATATTTATTTATTTATGATCGTAATTTTTTTTTGTATCTTTTAAATGTAAGTAATTAAAGGTATATATTACTTATATTTAAAAGATACAAAATTATTCAATGGAAAAGAGAATATTTTAACCAGGTAGTATAGTTAGCTGCATGCACACTGCACAGTTCGTAGAAGTAACAGTGTTTAAGTAGGGAACACAACATACATACGTTATTGAAAATTATTGTTAGTCTATTTAGTATGAAATAGAGGTACATTTTACTGTAAAAGTCATATTTGTACTTAAATAATATGGTATTCAGTAATAATTTGTAAACAATAAAGGTATAGATAATATTATCGATGCAAAGTAAAAGAAATATTCACGTATACTACGGCCACATAGTTAATTTTGTCAAGAGTTCGGAACGAACCATATTAGTATCAAGTATTATTAAACTAATTTAGACATGTGTAATACACCTAATTATTTACATTTAACGCACGTATTCGCTTCGAATACGGAAATCGCTAAACAAATATTATTAATAAAATAAATTAATTTTATTTATCTATACTAATATTATAAAGAGATATAGTTTGTGAATTGTGAGTTTGTGACGTTGTAGAGGGTAATCTCTGGATCAACTGAACCGATTTAGATGAGATTTGGTAAGAAGATAGTTTGAGACCCTGGAAAGGACATAAGATACTTTTTATCCCGGAAATCATCCCTTAATCCCTGGGTATGAAAATTTGTATGGGGAATGAACTAGTTAATAATAAAATTAATAATTAATTAATTAAAATATTAAAAATGAATTTAGCATAAAAAGAATAATACAATAAATAATTCATCCATTCTTTTTCATTTTCGTTTAATATTTACAAAAAACTTCAACAAAAACCAAAACATTCTTTAATTTTACTTTACATATTAATTAATTATTTTAAAGCATACAATTCAATTTAGATAACATTTCAATACACATTATGACCATAATATTGGCATAAAATCAAATTAAAATTGTACTCCAAATTAGCGTAAATGAATATAACATTTGTAATGATTAAGAAGTAATTGCATAATTCCTTAGCGTTAAATAACTTGTGGTTTGTGTACGTTTGAACAAAGTTGTTACATTAAACAAAGTGAAACGTCAAGAACTCGGTCTTAGATTACACAAACTATAGTAGGCAATATGTGATTGCTGAACACAGATTGGTGATGTTCGTAAAAATAATAGTGTTTAGATGAGGAAATAAATAATATACATTATTTAAGAATATTTTAATTTTCAAAATTCCGTTTAAGGTTTTTAATTTAAGGGCAAAAATTATGGAAAGTGTCCCTAAATATAGGGAAATATTGAAAAAAATGAAAGTGCTTTTTTCGAAAGGATTTTTGTACGAACTCAAATATCACAAACTTTATTGGTAAAGAATATCGTCTGCCGGGTCCGCTAGTCTATATAAAATTGATTTTTATATATATACTAGCATTGCCCGCGGCTCCGCCCGCGTTCAGATGACCAAAAACTAAATTCTTAGGTGTTACATATTAGTATACTCTTACATTGCAGTTTTTGTATTTTTCCTCAGAAATAAGATATTACTTCTAACAACGATATCTCAAAAACTATTCATCTGATTGATTTAGTGTAAAGAGCAATTTTAATCTGCATTAAATGACTAAGCTAACTAAAATATTCATTTGGATAAGGATTAATACCGAACTAAAGAAAATAACTTTGAAAATAACGTAATGTTTTTAATTAAAAATGTTAACATAAAAGTGGTTATTGTAAGTCAACCGTAAGAGATAGAGATATGCTATCGCGGACTTTTTTGTAGCATTTTTATAGATTTTGAATTCTCTAGTACATTACTTAACTGTATGGCGAGATTTTTTGCGACCTCTTCAACATTTGTCGCCGTATTTCAGCTAATTTACATAATTCCTCAAGAATTACTCTTTCTATTGTTGAAAACCGTATAAAAATCCGTTCAGTAGTTTTCGAGTGCGTACAGACAGACAGGAGGACAGACAGGAGGACAGAAAGACGCGGCCGGGGGACTTATTTTTATAATAAGTATAGATATGTAAATTTCATATATATTCTATCTATTCCTTACTAACCATTCAAATGTATCGAGCGACGAACCCGATCGAAGCGAGGGTACGTTGCTAGTATAACAATAAAATAAGTACTTATAAGTAACTAGCTTCATATGTAGTAATATTATAATAGTTTAATAGGGATTTTTCAATTTTAAAAATAATGAGAATATAATATTCATCAAATATTAAGGAGCGTTTTACCGGTTAGTATGGAATAGATACACTTTCTATTATACTTACATATGATATATAGCTTAAAGCTTTCCTCCTCAATAAACGGGCTGTCTAATGCAAAAATAATTTTTCAAATCGGATTAGTTATTCCTGAAATTAGCGCGTTCAATCAAACAAACTGCCTCTTCACTTTATAATATTAGTATACAATTAAGATCTATCTTAGCTATCGATATCCATACTAATATTATAAATGTGAAAGTGTGTTTGTTTGTTTGTCTGTCTGTCCTTCTTTTACGTCGAAACGGAATGACGGATCGGCGTGATTTTTGTTTGGAGATAGTTGGAGGGCTGGAGAGTGACATAGGCTACTTTTTACCGCTGGAGATGATGTAATTCCCACGGGAAAACACGTTATAATACAATCCGAAAAAATATTTATGATCAGAATTAGTTGAAACTTGGTGTTATTCTTCTTCTTCTTCTTCCTGCCCATTTCCCAATCACTTGGGGTCGGCGCAGTACATCTTCTGTACTGCTGAAAGGATTTGGCAAAAGTTTTACGACCGGCCGCCTGCCTGACGTCAACCACCCTCCTTAGGAATAATGGTGTTATTGCTCTTCAATAAAATTAAATAAATACATGTTTTAGCATTTTTCGAAATTGATGAATTTATATATTCTATATTCTATTTAGAAATTATATATTATATAAAAAATGTGTATGAAACTACCTTTTTAGAGTTTTTTTGTAATTTTAGCGCGAGCGAAGCCGCGGGAGGAAAACAAAAATTCACATATTTTACCATAATTATCTAAGTATGAGAGAGTATAAAAACAAATCTTTGAATATTAATGTTTATATTTTACTTTCAATTAGTGCAGTTGATTTCCCACCTGCCCGCTCAGCATTCCTTGAAAAGTAAACTTTTTGCACTACACAGTGTGTGCCGTTTTTAATATCTTAATTATTAGCATAAACACGAACTGCCTATGAATATGTGAAAACGGGTATTAATTTTCTTTGCAATTTAAATATTTTTTGCTTTTAATTTAGTATTTCGTAGTGTGCACGAATGCCACAATATTTGTCGGAATATGGCAACTTTTTTGTAAGTCTTGATCCCAGCCTATTTACGTAAGGGCAATCGTCTATATTGACCATATGGAACTTAGTTTTTGCTAAAAAGAAGCTCGATGCTAAATTCCGCCATTCATTATTAAGGATACTGTATATTTCCTACCTATTTAAATAAATTTTGTTATAAAATATAATCATCAATAAAAACAATTTAATAAAACTATATATTTTTATGACTGTAAAAAGTTTAGCTCGTGATCTTCCTAGTAGATATGACGTGAGACCACGAGATGGTAGCAGCTCGAGGTCGTTTGGACCTTGGAGGCATGTGTTTTTCATTATTTTTGAATAACTTCAAAAAGGAAATGGTACTCAATTCGTCTATATATATTTGTAGATATGTTACGTGTAATATCTTCGCTATTGTTGATCGATTTTCATATTATTCTTATTTTTTTTTAATGAATGTGGTATATATAAATATAAAAAATCCATCCTAAAGGTGGAATTAGTTTTTAATTATTTTGAAGTTGGTGTGCCTCTTTTTAAATGTCATCAATAGGTCTGTTGAAGCAAATTAGAAATTATATGTAGAATGTTCCGCTGTTGCTAATTCTTCCGCCTCCCGATTAGTCTTCTTCGATTTGACCATTAGGTACTTTAGAATGGCGGCATGATACTTGTCATACAGTAGGTTTTTTGGCCAGTATAAAGAATTTCCAAAATAAAATTTTAAAGATGGATGTATGGATTACTGTTTTTAATCGAATAATTCGGTTTATATTTTTAATCGATCGACGGAAGGAGAAGGACTCAAATTCTTTGCTTTTTTTTTGTGTGCGACAGTATCTTTGTAAATTGTGGACTGATTTTTTTAATATTTTTTTTATGAATAGGTTTTACCTCATGGGTGGTTCGACATAAATTACAAGAAAAAATCGCTAACGGCTTAATAATTATTTTTAAGTGACTTTACTTAAAAGTCTGTGTGTACATTTTTTGTTAAAGGCTAATTATTTTATGCGATACCTTCGGAGATCGTGCGATTTGAATAATGTTATTTGAATATGCAATAAACTCAGGATTACCATTCGATTTTTTGACTTCGTTTGAATAAAATTATAGCTTAAGCATTTTTATCTATCTACACATTTAACATTTACAATTTTATATTTTTTTGTATATATTTTTTATTTAGCTATTTGCAAATATACGCGTCTAACATGTTAATTATATTGTCACAGGTAACTGTGAGTGGTGTGACAGTCGTTATAACCGAGTACAAACCGAAAAAGTCGGTTTCGACGAGTTCCAGCGATGTGGAGTCTTCTAACGATGCAAGACCCTGATCTCTTATCTCATTGATCTATTTATCCTCGACAATATGATCCATAGTAAGTTCTAATATTTGCTATGTATGTATATATGAAGTATTTCCTTTTATAATTTATTCGTCACTTATCGATTTTCAATATTGTGGGATTGTTTTTTTTTTTAGAATTTTAGTCTTACTGATGAAATTATTGTCCATATGTATTCATTTGTTTTTTAAAACATTGGTTATAAAATGAAATATGAATGATAGATTAATGTTATGTTGAGACAGAAATTTGACGTGATCTTAAATTTCATCAATTAACCAAATATAATTGTTTGGAAATGTTTAAAAAATATATTCATTGAGGGTTGATTTTTTATTAAAATAATTAACTGATCAAAATAAATATAACCTGGTTGGGTTGGAAAATGAATTTGAATTGTGTAAAGTATTTATAAACTTAATATTTTTAATTTATTTATGTAATATTATTATTTATATTTTTATTCTAACAACCCGTTGAGGTTATTTTCTATGAAGATTGTAAAATAGTAAATCCCTTCTTATGTCGGCTTTGTATTTGTGTAATTTTGAATTAAGTATAATACGAAGAGGGTAAGTAGATCATTGATCATTTTATACTTCGTCTTTTTCACAACTTAACTTTAAATGTATTCTAAGGCCGGTTTAGGCTAAGACACGGTACACTTAGTGTATACACCGAGTGTCTCTCTAATGTCACAATAGGGAAGGAATATGCGTGATTTTATTTAAATTTTTTATACAATAGCTTAAATCTTTATATAACAGTAAAAAAATATCTTGCCCCAAAAAACTAAAATTTAGTATAAAAAAAATATATCATACCGATACGAATACTTTAAACGCCCGCCCATTTAGCGTGCTTGGCGTGACGTCACAGTATCGTACATAGAAAAATAACTACTTTAGATATCGTATTGACAAAATCTGTTCTGATAATACTTTGACGTCATATTCGGTCTGACCAATGGCGTGCGTTTCAACTACTTAAATTTCCCACCTATATTTGCACTTTTTAATAATTATTTTCTTAATCAAAAAGATATTACATTAAAAATATTGATGTAAGCTTAATTCAAAAGCAATGAAGATTATAAAAAAAAATATTTCACCTTGAAACCACACGCATATTCCGTATTAGAGAACACTCTCAGTGTATACACTAAGTGTACCGTGTAGGTATAGTGTCTTAGTCTACCACGGCCAGTGTAGTTATGATTTCTATTCATAATATTTATTATTTTTACTTTTACGTAATTTAATATAATTAAAATGAACCTGCCATGTGTGAATTGCTTTCAAACTATTTATAACGCTTGTATTTATTGAACTAATGTTATTGGGTAGCCATTTATAGATATCTTCTTTTAAATTATTACTTATTATGAAGTAAGATTTGATTTTGGTCTTAATTTGAAAGAATATTTTTAAATATTTGGTATATATGTCATATTGTATATACGAAGCGACCAGCGGGGCACTGCCGTGATGAATTGTACATACAAGTGGAAGGAATTGTACAGATTATTTAAATTAAAACCTTAATCTATTTAATGCGCTAGACGTCCTCAGTCGAATAAAAACAGTTGTGTGAACCAAATGACCAAATTTCCAATTTCAAGTGTTCTATGACTTATCTGCACTTCGAAGAGATATTCGATTTAAGCTTCTGTATATAATTCACTTCTGAGCCTTATGAAGGTATAAAGAATTTAATGCGACGCACAAAAAGAAGTTTCTACCGACAATATTATATTTGTACAAAAACGGGATTTTTTGAATTTTTTTGATGGAAATTCATAAATGCAGTTAAATCCAGTGCCTAAACGAACATGTTTGAACAGATGGCTTTAGCGATAGTTACGTTATAGTAAAATGAAGTAGGTTTAAAATATTGGATTCATAGTTTCTATGACAAACGAAATACAAACCAAAATGTATCTACAAGAGCGTTTGGTATTCGAAGAAGGATATGGGTTAGTCAAGTGCCACATCAAAATCACAGTTTAGTAGATAATCATTAAATTAATATCATCATTAATTTCGTAATTATCATTAAATCATTAATAAACTATTCAATTAATTAAATCATTAGTAATTATGCGATGTTTTCGATGAGTTGTTTAAATTAGGTGTGATTTGGAGGTAATTGTTTCATTATTATTATTATTAACCACCAGACATATTAATTACACGTTTGGGCCAACTGTATATGATTTATAGCATTTTTTCCAAAAATTATTTTTTAATCGATCTTGTTTGTCGATAACATTAAAATCAAAGTAGGTACAACAAAAATGCATGTATAATATTTTGTATAGATTGAATTCAAAGACTGTTACATAATACTGGTGCCACGTTCAAAATAAACAATCTAAATAAAACGACCAATCGATCTGGTTGGTCCAACGTACGTTAGTATATTATATTATTAAAACCAGGGCCGAATTAACCATGTCGGGGGCCCCTAGGCAACGGAATTGTCTGGGCCCCTCCACCTTTTTCTAACTTATTGAAATACATTTTTCCTATCCCAATGCAATTAATTATATTCGTAATTACGTTATTAGGTAGATTTCATAGAAATATTTCAAACATTTTCAAAAAAAAACTCGGCCCTAGCCGTTGCGGGGCCCCTAGGCAGTTGCCTAAACTGCCTTATGGATAATCCGGCCTGATTAAAACCACCGCATATTGCAAATATTAATTATAAATATTTAAATCACAGATCAAAAATACCTTTTTAAATTACAGATAAATAATACTTTACAAACAAATACAGATAAAATATCTGCGATATTCGATGGTGTTGTAAATGTGTGAGAGGGGTGATTGTTTATTACCAAAACAGTAGCTAATATTGTGTTCCATGCGTTAAATAAGTATTTATTCTAGCTTTAAGGTCTTAGAATGGGTGTTTTGTTTCGTTTTTATATCACAAATGTTTCATTATGAGATAGTCTATGGCTTAAATCTGTTTGGCGTGTAGTTAAAACTTATCGCCGTAGGTTCGTAGCTTTATTGTAATGGACAATAGGCTATAGACAATTTTATGTAAGAAATGAGAGCTAAGACAACATGCCATTCTGCAATCGTTGCAGAATAAAATAGAAATCTAAATTAAATGTATATGACAATTCAATTTAATTCTTTATTATGTCGCTTTTAGGCGTGCCAGTTTGGCACAGATCACCTCGCCAATGTCGTGTACAATGGACATTTCTATTCTATTACGATAGTAGATTGTAGAATGACATCTGGTCTAAGCCACCGCGACTGTTCCGTCATATACATAAATAAGATAAAATATATTTTTGACATTTCGCATATATATATATATATATATATATATATATATATAAATGTCATTCGGTATTTTGTGTGTTTTAAAGGTTTTTGTTTTGTAAATGGAAAAATCGCTAGCTATCAGTAGAGTATAAAACAAGTATTAAATATACCTATGGATAAATTAGCATGTTATTTGGTGTATTTTGCAAATGCAACGCGATATTTTTATACAAAGTAAAAAATTATAGCGCTAAGTAGTTTTTCTATGAGTGATTATGTTGGATTAAATTGATTGATTCTAACGCTAACTTTAATCGGTTAGTTTGTTCATATTTTCAACTTAAACTATAAAAATTGTAATGGGGATCAAATTTCGGGTATTTTACGTCATTTGGTTAATATTGCCTGTAGCTATATTCGCACACTTGGAATGTGATAAAAAAGGCGCTATAAGATACAGGGATAGACCTGTTAAATACATAGAGATGTAAGTAAGTAAAGGATATAAAATCGATTTGATCCCGTATTTTGAAATAATGACTGTATGTAAAGTATTTTAAAAAGAAACATCAAAGGAACACTTGCATTTTATTTTAATTGTAGAATAAATCTAGCTGGCTTAGATAAAATTATACGCTACAAACGTTATCGCGAATAGATAACTATAGGATGTTTGGATATCTATTTCAGCTTTAAGTAATATGCTCAATCTGTCATTCTTATATATGTATCTATTAGTTTTCTATCAGTAATATCATTTGTAGAAATCGTTATTCTGTTTAAAAATTATTACCAAATGAGTAAAACATGTTTTTTTTAATTCAGCGTAATCACTAATAAAATAGCAAATAATCAATTGAAGTTAACACCAATTTTAATATGAAATATAAAACAGTTTGTATTACATTTGTAGACGTTTGTAGATTTATTAATACCATCGATACCTATATAAATAATGTTATAACCGTTTTTAGTCTCTATATGTCAACATAAACATGTTAGTACTAATATATATATATATATATATTGCAGATTTTGTATAGATCGATAGTTTAATCAAATTTGTTTAGGAAAGTATAATTTGAACAAGTATTTAGGTAGTGGATCATAAGCTACAGCATACTAAGACATAGACAAAGCAAGCAATGTAGGAATTATATAAAGCATATAATATTTCTAAAACAAGAAAAGTACTGCCATTTTGAGTTAACGCTAACGTAATTTTATTTTTCCACCACGTTCAGGTACAATCAATGCTTTTAAGTATGGTTTCGCACTTTTTATTGTCACCTAAAAGGGCTTGTATCAAACTAACAATTTATACGCAGTTTTTTTTTTAATTTACGCGTTAAAAAAATCCGATCTCAAGTTCGAGTGCCTTTGAAATTTTGATTGACGTACGTGACGTTAGGGATCGACAACTCACTCGTATTGTTACAAGTGAAACGGCTAGAGCAGAAATATTTACGTTTTAATGTAAAAAACTCCATGTATTGATAGATACGTCATATAGATACTTTAAAATAAAACTTTTGGTTTTTTGTTTTTTTCGCGTATTTTTTTTTCAGTTTCTGTTCTCGATGTTTCGTTTTGATGTTTTACAGCAATCATGATCACGGAAAACATCAGATTCTAACGACCATGAAAAGATTTTTTTTTTATTTCAAATATTTGCGTACGTCCAAGAAAGTATTACTT